AACTCCTCTACCACACGAGCGATTATTGCATCAGGAGATCAGACTCAAATTTGCATTCGGAACCACATGGCAAGTAGGCCCCACTTTAATGCAACGATTGGGTGAGTTTTATAGAGGGGTGGAGTGGAGCCCACTACAATGGTAGTCAAAACAACAAATATTGTGTCCGTAGTCTGGATGTAATAATTTTTTCCTACTATACAGAATAAACATTCCAAAAAGCTCCTCAAGTACTTCAAAAGGAAAAAAAAAGGATAATTACATACAAACCACCCAAAACATTGATATTTGCAAATTAACAACCAAGGTGATTTGTCTGAACTACCAAACCAACGTATTCAAACGTGCCACGATTAAAATATTGAGAATTTGATAAAAATGAAAGATATGGATTGGGGTTTTACCATTAATTTTAATATTTGAGTGAGAATTTGAAAAATGGATGAAAGAGGGTGCTTGATTTGTAAATAGAAAGTTTTGGGGGGGTCTGTGCGTAGTTGCCCCACAAAAAAAAAGGCTGATAGTTTAAATTACGAAAGACAATAATGAGGGAAAAAACAGGCCTGCATGTCAATGGTTGGTGTATAATGTTTTATGATAAAAACAGTATGTCATTATACTACGTGAGCAGGATGTCTTAGGATTTGTTCATGTAAACCAAAAATTAGATGCATAAAATCATGTAGATAATTCTAGAAAAATGGATGATATTCTGCAATAATAATCATTGCACCACAATAAATGCATAAGTCCTCTAATACACAAGGCATCCATGTCAAAATATTTAATTATTTCAAAAAAAGCTCATAAATTATGAAGGAAATAAATAACATGTCATAAGGCAAAGTGATGCGGGTTGTCTTAGGATCTAAGAATGCAAATCTACAATCGGATACGCACATCACACGAATAATTCTAGCAAAATATGACAAATTGTACACTAATAATCATGCCAATTGTTGATATGATGAAGCAAAATATAAAGCTAAGTTGGAGATGTTCTCATACGGATGCATAATTCCTCTAGCACACAAAAGAAATATTCCAACTGTTTACTTAATTATATAAAAAAAAAAACTCATAAATTAAATTATGAAAATATAATGATAAAGAAAATACATCTTTAACATACTATTAACCAATATATGATCTACTGAGCATAGGTTTTGAAATGTGTACTTCCCTCCCAAAAAAAATTCCATTCCCAATTATAAAAGAGAAAATATGATTGATTAATTTATCTTCTTCTTCAAACTCTTCAATTATTTGGCGAACTAGTTACAATAGTATTCCTCTTAGATAATTAGCTGTATCTGAAAGAGCATGCAATATTTAAAATAACCTAAACATATTGGAATACGGAATCACATTACACAAAGATACTTTGATAAAATTGTGTTGCATTACATTCAATATGAAATATTCTAAGCATGATTAAATTTCACAACATTGCAATTAAAGTAGTCACTATTTGAATTTTTTAGCCATGTGAAGAAAGCATCGTTACGCGATTACATTGAAGCACATGTTCAATCAAATCATAAAGAATTTCCATTTCAAACATCATAAATGTAGAGATGTCATTCCTTGCATTTAGAGATCATAGATAACAAAATTAGCTTGTGGAGATATATTGGGTGTCATATCCCAGCCTGAGGAAAATCGCTATAACAAGGCGATTAACAATGTCACAAGGTCGTAGCAGTTATTTAACTATTCAATTTCTATTTGAAAGAAAATTTATTTTTTTTCAATTTTCACAAAAATATTAGAGCAACTAATATCATCAAATATCATAAAACATTAGCCAAAATCTACTCAAATTACATTATAAATAATACAATCGCAAGAATAAACACAGCAATCATGGTATAATTCTTATATCAATAAAACATGTAAATTACAATGGCTGTCAAACTAGTAGATCTAACAAAATACCTAAGGTCAATTTCTCAATAGTAATCAATAACCTCTACTCAACTTAAGACTTGCCTTCTTTCTAAAATAACACGTGGATAAAACAAAAGCAAACAACCACAACTCAATAGACCACTCAAAATTCACTATAATTTTTTAATACACATAAGTAAAAAATAAATATATTTGCCAAAATACATCATATAATAGTAAAATTAACTTTAAGTGAACTAAAAAAACATCTCAATATATTACATCTTATATCTATCGAGTACAAACTTAGTATTAGAGCTAATGTCAGACAAAAGTATATATCAAGTAATAATAAAAATAGTCATCTTAATATGATGTAAAAAATACAATAAGATAATATGAAATAATAATTCATTGCTTTATCTAGCACATTTAATAAGTTTTCTCCTTCGACACTTATACATGTGTTTTATATCTCAACGTGTTCATATTTATACTTTATTTATTATATCTTCACTTCACTTATCTTCAAATATATAAAATATATAGATGAATAATTATATAAGTGCATAGACCTTTATCACTCCAGTTAAATACCGCCCCCCCCCCCCCCCCTTCTCCCTTCCACTT